TGGGTTGTGAGCAGATATGAAACCCAGTGAAGACTTACCAAATCTGATAAATTAAAATCCTGTAAAGATGCCTTGAGTAATAGAGTCTAAGGGTGAACTGAAGGAAGAAAATGAATCTGAAAATATTTATTAATTGAAAATCAAAGGAGCATGTAGAAAACAATGCATCCGAGCCTACCCCAAGTGCTAAAGTATGATCAGAGATTGCTTTATTATTTCTCTTGAATGTTTAAGAAACTTAACTCTACTTCTCAGATAGAAAAATATTTGTATTCTGAAGCAGAAGTCCACCCATACCTTTATTCTAAACCCAATTTACATGATGAAATAAAACACCGATCATAACATTAGGTGCCCTGCTATAGAAGATTAACATCTTACCTCATTATTTTAGAAAATTTTAGTCACGTATTATGTTTTATTGAAATGATGCAATTGCAAGGGAGAAAAATTGCTATGGATTTCTCTTAAAGCTTGTGAGAATGATTTACTCAAATCAAGATTTGTTTTACAGGATTCGAGCAAAAACATCCAAATATCCGCCTTCCATATTTTCAAGGTAATAACATGCTCAATCTCCTACTACTATTTGTATTTTTCCTTAGAAACCGCTTTCTTCTTGTGGATATGTTTTCATCTTGAGAATCCTATTAAGAGTGTCATTTTTTTCCTTCAATCTCAAGAGTCAACTTTTGTTTTTGATGGTTCAATCGTTCTTCATTCAAGTAGTTTTTGGTTTAATAAGAAATCAACAATGTTTGTAAATCTTCGGTCTCCCTTTTTGCTTTCCTGCTTTTCTTTATTCACATGCACATGTTGGCGTTATCCATTGGCACACTGTCTGAAAAAATTTGGTGTATAAATGAAAGAGGTCGTATTGTGATTTACTTGCAGTTTTTAGCATTTCTCTCTCTCTCTCTCTCTCTCTCTCTCTCTCTCTCTCTCATATATTTAACTGCTACATCTTCTGCAGGTTTTTGTAGCCAACCCAAACAAACCGCGAGACATAAAAGTGATTCTGGCAAAGAACCATGAAAGACTTTTGGAACTGCTCCATAGTCTATCTCCTGGCAAAGGTTAGTAAACTTGACTCTGGTCAAGATTTCATTCATTATCTTCTCATTCATTATGATCTCGTATGGGGTCACTGCAGGAGCTGAAGACGATCAGTTTGAAGAGGAAAAGGAACTCATAATCAAAGAAATCGAGAGAGTATCTCGTCTTCCAAACCTTGAATCTTAGGTATAATCCTTACCCTTTTTATTTAACTTCATGCATTGATTGAGCTTGTGTAACAGTGTGTTGTTATTAATTAAGACTTAGTGTATTTGAGGTAGCATCCCCCTCACACAAATGTAAAGTTGATTTTCGTGCAACAAGAAATGTACAAACATTTTACCTTTAGACAACCATCTTTCAATTCATCATGTGAGAATGATACAGGTATTTCTTTTGGTTTGAGTGCCGAAGAAGCTTCTCTCTCTCTCTCTCTCTCTCTCTCT